AGCGCAACGCCGCGCGCATGATTGCTCGCACGGGGACCAGGCGCTCTACCGCATATTCGGAAGGCCGAAAAAGCGTCTACTGTCCTGTTACAACGAACTCTTTGATTATGTGGGGTCCGTCGATTTTTACTTATCGGTATTGTATTAACAAGTGATAAAAAACCTAAATAATAGATATGATGGTTCTACACACGCAAGCCGAAGCATAACACTAGGTCGGTTGGGATATATTTGACATTTTTCACGCAGCACGTGGGATGCTTTACTAAAATCCAGCTATTTTTAGAAGTCATTTAGAATTTATTGATATTTTCCATGTAATTAATAGGGGTTTAATTATAGGGGTTAAATCGCTGCTAATGTTTACATATGCTACGCCACTAGTAGGTTACATTTGCGCAACTACGATTGATCAATCACTTTTCCATAAATATATTAATTATTCATTAAAAAATAAAAATTCTTCTTATAAACGTTGTAATTTAAATGAAAGGCATTAAATAATATTTCTAAAAAACCAAAGCAAATATAAGCATTAACGTACAGATCGACTGCATTAAGAAATCTATAAATTTTGTCATTTTATAGTAATATTTGGACTTTCTGCATAATTGTTATAATATTAATCAGCTGAAACGATATATTTGAATTTTATGATAACTTTCAAAGTTCCATCCTCTACGGTTTTTTCAATGATATTATTTTTTAATATATTTTATAATTTTTATTATTATTTTAAAATCTTTCAGTAATTGTAAAGCAACTGTATGTGAATATATATGAAATGTTGCTGAAGCTATTTTTTGAAAATAATGGAATAGATAAATTTATAGGAACAGAATTTTATGTATTAATTTTTCCAATATGTAATAGGTAATAAAGTGTTAAATTAAAAAACAGACATTGCAGTATTAAAAATGAGGTATTAAAGATTCCGCATTTCACTATAATTTATCCGTTTGATTCGAATTTCAAGTATAAGTTCTAGTCGAAATATATTAATTTAATACACGAATATTATTATTATTTTAATTGCTATATTATTATTATATTAATTATATTAAGAACTACAATTGGACGACGTGTGAACCTATGATATGAAAAAATAAGATCGTATTACTCTCGAAAATTACCACATTTTGCCTAAATAGGGCTAAATTTGCACGGTTAATCCTAAAATTTAAATTAATTAGTAAATTTATAGGGAATAAAATTTGATGCTTTGATTTTTCCAATATATAATAGGCAATAAAGTGTTAAATTAAAAACTAGACATTAAAGTATTATAAATGAGGTATTAAAGCTACCGCATTTTACTATAATTTATCCGTTTGAAATTGAAATTTTAATCACAAGTTCTAGTGGTAATGTATTAATTCAATACACGAATATTATCATTTTAATTGTTATATTGTTATTGTAATAATTATGTTAAGAGCTGCAATTGAACGACGTATGGACATAGGCATGATATAAAATACAATATCGTATTACTCTCAAAATTAGATTATTAATTATATCGAAGTGCAAAATTTGCACTGCAAATGCTGCAACTTTATTGAGTAAAAAATATAAGACAAGTGTATTATTTTTCTAAGAAAATCTCTTAAAATATTAATTTGGATTATTAAATTCAACTTTGTTGTTTTAAAAGATTTTATTAATCTAAAGACATTGAAATATTGCAAAGCACTTTTCTGCAGCTTAACTATAACTATAAGCTCGCTGAAGAGTAATTGTTTTTCGATATCTAAACTATATATAAAAATATGTATAATATATCGTTATATTCAACGCAGCCTTATATTGCAAAATACCTGTTAAATATTGACATCACTTAATTATGCAGAATAATTATGAGAATCGCAATTTAATATGATAATAATTATCACTACTCGTATATGCCTCATATTTTTGTATTTTTTTTTAAATATTTGCACCTAAACAGCAAATCTTTGGAAGTAACTTTAGTAGTCTAATTCGAATGCCAATCCACTGATTCGATGTCCGGGCATGTAAACAATAAAATACTTTTGAATACATTTGAGAAAAATGAAGCAGAATTGATCATTATTCATAAAAATTAGCAGTTTACAGACCTTTTTATCAAATTCTGATAAAATTTCAACATTTTTAGTACATCTCGATTGAATTTTCGTTATCGATTAGTATTAATTTTCGTTAGAATTATTTAGATATGTCGTTTGGTTATAGTTATAATTTTTAAAGTTTACTGAATCAGTTCTTGGTTTGTCACATGCTTTAAGGTCATGCAGAACTTAATAATAATTTAATTTGCACTTAAGAACAATAAAAAAGACATTCATTACATGCAAGATAGTGCTTACAGGGTTTTCAACTGACTTCTTATGCCTTTCATACAAGAAAAAATCAAATCCAACTATATAATTTGTAGTTGTAGTATAAAATTACGTGCGCATATTATTTGTCATTACTGTTCGTTTCTTCCATGTAATCGACGATATTCTTTGATGCAGCAGAAATTATTTTGCCGGCGCATACAAAAAATATGAATACATCAATTACGGAACTTCTTCAATTTATTTAAAGTTTCTTGCAACTCGATATGCAATTATTGCGAGAAACGCTGGAAGATCATCTAACGATCAGGTTATTACTTTCGTTTGTGCATAGATAAATTGATAGACCTTTTGTGTTTATTCCTGAAAAACTGAGATATGTTGATTTAAAAATTTTAAATTTATTTTTTTTTTAATTTTATCATTTGATTTTTTGTCAAATTACCAAATTTTTTTACGCCTTCTGAATCAACTCAATAATCAATAAGAAATAGACACAAAGACACAAAAAAGCTAGCTAGTAAACTAGTCTACGTCAACTCTACTGTTATCAAATATAATTATGAATATATTAAGCTCAAGTTAATGCACATTATATTAAAATATTATTGTACAAAATAATACAATATTTTATTTATAAGATATCTCACCAATTTAGTGTTAATAAAGTTAAAGATCCGACGTTTTGAATATATGTTTTTCATAGATATTTACATTTTTGAAAATTTTTAGACGGTATTTCTGAGTTTCATATATTTTATGCAAGATTATGAATATTTTTACACAGTCAAGTGAATGAAACGAGAAATTTAATAAATCTTATTAAGGGCATAAGCCATATACACATTTTCGAATACGATAAGCTCATGTTTTAATAAATTACAAAATTTATTAAAAATTTCTAATTATTCACCCCAATTTTTGATATTATTTTTATTATAATTATTATTATCAAATTTATTTTTCAATATTAATATTTATAATTTTGATTATTTATTACACATTTGTTTTATCGTTTATGTTTATTGTTTGTTTTTGTGCCACCGTTTTGTTCTGTAAAATGACGTTTTTATTGAATATATATTTGCATCTTGACATGTAGTCCCAATTAAAATTTTCCCAATTAAAATTAATTACTGCAATTTCCCAAGAAAATAGCGACTGTTTATTTTCATAAATTCTGGCGCTCTCTATATCAGTATGATAGAATAATATGGTAAGCAACCACGCTAAAGAATTCAAAATCATCAGATATACAAAATAAATAATTCAGTGCAAACTTTTCTTGATGTGCCTAGGATTATATTTTTGAGAGCCCACATCAAAATTACTTTAAATCTTTTCAATAAAAAATCTACGTATCAACAAATAACTATTAAATGAAACTTTGAATATTAATAGACTACGAACATTTAAACCAAAATTGGCAAGATAAATAATATTAGTGTAATATTTTGGACTATTTAAAAAATAGTATCTATTTCTAGGAAGCAGATTTCTTTAATGAATGCAGAGTATTCGGTATTATTTAGTTTATTAGGAAAGAAAAACCATTAGTTCAATAGACAGACAAAGTAGTTCATACTCTTGTCAATCACATAATATGACTATTAATAATTTTAATTGGTATTAGTCTTTCATAAATTGAATATTTTGTAATAAAATACAAATCGATTTCGTCTTAATAATTGTACTAATTTGTCAATGGAGTATTTGTTAACCCCATTGACATCCCTAGTTTGATCGATTATAGAAGTTATAAATGATGAACTTTCAACAAGCAATTATTTATATATTATAGAATAATAATTCCATTATAAATAAATGCATAATTTTAAAATGAAATGCGTAAATGGGCATGCTGAGGTAGTGTAAATATTATTGCATAAAGTCAAAACTAAGCAATTCGATTTCTAGCTTATTGTTAACTAATCATGCAATTTTCTAATTTATTGTAACACATATCATGCAAGTAATGGAAAATTGTGTTAGGTGTGTGAATGTTTCCTCAAATATAGACGAAGATTTTTCATGTCAATCAAGAGAGAGGCACAAGAAAATTTATGACGAATATTTCTATGATATAATACTCCTTATATATACACCTATATAAACAACATCAAATAGTTTTATCATCCCAAGATAATGATTTAAAAAAAAGTATAATATACATATACTGTCGCACGTAATATTAATAAACCATGACTCAATTTTTATATTAGAACAAAAATAATAGGTTAAATTTTTATTACCTAACGATTCATTCTCGCTATTCATAGTTATACTCTTGTCTATTCGCAGAGATTGGTTATATCATTGATATAGTAGTAAAACTTCTGTAAGTTAAGGTCCTACCATTAAAAGAAAAAAATATGTTGATATCACGAGAACGAAACAGATTACCTAAAAATTATTTTTTAGCCCCCGAGTATATTTAGAGCATATAAACGAAAATTTACGGAAATATCAGTAGTTCCTTTACTCATGTTTTGATTAAATTAAAAACTTTACTTGAAATTAGGGTAAGATTTAGAAGTAAAAAAGTAACCATTCTCTTGTTTGATTTGAAAAATCTCTGCACTCATGAGTGTGTTATAAACAGTGTCATACTAATAGTGTCTGGTGTGTGGTGGTTGTGAACACATCCTCAGTATCCCCATTGCATTTCGGGAGTGTCACCTTGATCCAAACGATGGTCGGTCTATGAGTTCCATCTCCGTCTCTGGCATCACAGGGTAATTCCAAAGTGTCTCCGATCTTCTTCAAGTAGAAGCCGACAGGAGTCACCGTGAAGCTAGGAGGTGTCTGCACGATCACGTGGATCATTGGAGATGGTCCTTCAGTACCTGGAATAAGGTAATTGTTGATCACATTGCAATTTATGTAAGTCATGTTTATATATTACTTTTGTGTAAAAGCAAACATCTCTGATGTCGTCAATACCTTTTCACTAAAGGCAACACCGATTTTTAATATTTAAAAGTGGGTCGATAAATTTTAGTAATTATTCACGTTATTAATTTTACGTGGTGATCAGTTATATCGTTTCTTTGCAATTAACGTATAAACAAAATAAATTTCACCTAACTTTTATCAAACCCAGGTTTTTATTTGAAAATACAAAACTTTTCAAATTAAAATAAAATTCAAGTCTATTAGTCTTTGGATAGATAGGTCGTGAATGTTTGTAAACTATTTGAAAACAATCTGAAGTAAGTGTATCTAATGTACCTAATTCATTATATGGCGTGCAGGTGTAATGTCCAGCGTGTTGCTCTTCTACTTTGCTGAAAAACAAACTTCCGTTTCTTCTATAGAAAACTCCTGGAACATTGTAAGGATCAAATAAGAATCCATCCTTCTCCCATCGCAGATTAGTCAAAGGCGGGTTCGACCTGAAGTGACAATCTAAAACAGCTGGTTTTCCTAGAGGCAAGTAGGCTTCCCTTGGTGCATATACAACCTTGGCCTTATCTGTCAAAATAGAAATAATTTTGTATTAAAATTCAAATTTATAAATGAATAAATATTCAATCAATTACTAATCTAGCAAATTACATGGATACCTGCTATAGCTATACGACATGTGTTCTAGAAGTGCGTATTCGCATACGATTCAAATACATCAACCGTGTAATTGGATTATTACTTATCTTATATATAAAAATGGAGCTCTCTTACAAATGTCTAAGTAAAACTCGAAACGGCTAAACGGATTTGGCCAGTCTTAGTCTTGAACTAGCTGTAAGTGGAATTCTGTCTTAAGGCAATTAAGGCATCGTGCCTTAAGGCAAATTGCTGAAACTTCCCGTACCAAAAATTATTTTTTTTTAAAAACGATTAACATTTTTGAAAAAAATTTACTTCGAAAAAATAAGATTTTTGAGAAACTATAAATTGGACAAAAAATTACTTTTTTTTGAAAAAAATTTTTTTTAAAAAAAAAAAAAATTTAAATTTCTTTTTTTTTTGAAAAAAAAAATGTTTTCTTTATTTTGACATATTTTGGAAGATCTGACCTTTTTTCAAAGCAATCGTACTGCTTTACCTGCATAAAGACGAAATATCAAAGCGCGTAAGCGCCGCGTCGCCGTCTAACGCGTAAACATTGGTACGGAACCCATAGGAATGTAAACAAAATTCATACTTATTGTTAAAATCTCTATAAAATATCTGATAATTTGATGTGCATATGTCTAATGATCATTTTTGACCGCCAAATGGCATTTTTTTTTACTTTTTTCATTAGATCTCCGAAACCGCTAGACCTGCCTTTATGAAAATTTGGTCAATTCTTCATCTTGTCAATACAAGTAAAACGTTTTTTGACTTATTCAAATTGGACACTCCGTTCTCTTAAAAACTGAGTTACCGTTTTCGGCACTTTTTGCCCCGTATCTTTGGAACAGCTAGACCTGTCTTTGCCAAAAACTAATCAGCACGTCTCCTTATCAATACGAATCGAATGTTTTTTGAATTATTCAAATCGGTTGATCCGTGTTCCCGAAATCGTCGACGAAAATTTGTATCCGCACATACATACACACACGCACATACATACATACACACACACACACACACACACACACACATACATCCATTTTTTCTAAGGTATGCCAAAATGTTCAGAAACCTCTGAAACGCAAAGATATATAAAAATTTTCATTTTCGATTTTTTTGCGATTACTATAACTATCCCTACGGGAAGTTAAAAATTCGTGCCAATCCAGAGAAAGTCCAAAAAGTGAGATATTATTCCAAAATCGCGTAGAAACTTTACATTTTTAATTTGAAAATTTTTGTAGAAGCGAAATTTAAATAAAACAATAGACGGTGGCTATTACGTGAAATGTCAAACGTTCTTGACAGATAGTGTTCAATTACTTTTAATAGAAAGTTTTACGTGAATATTTACGACAATATAAGCCGAAAAACCAAAAAAAAAAACTTGGATTGGATTATACCATGTTTACTATAGAAAGTATATAAAACTTCCAGTTTGATTGTATTGACAAAATATCGGTAATCTTTGAAAATCCATAATAAAAGTATTTTCTTCCGTTGGTAGTTTTTTAGCATTAGTTAAAAATGTAATTACAAAAATTTTTGTAAAATACCTTTAAATTAAAATAAACGTGTTTGCCACCTGGCCGTTCAAAGTTACCCCGCCTGTAGGGTAAAAAAGTGTAGATAACGAATTTTTGAAAGACATCAAAAAAATACATTTCTACAATGATGAAGTAGCTGGCAATTTTACTGAACGTAGTCAGATAATTATTCGTTAATTCATCGAATGTTACTTGAAACTTCGTAACTTGAAAATTTCAAGAAAGTAAAATTTGAAAAAAAAAATTAAAACAATTTTTTTTCCAAAAGCAATTATTTTGTTAAAACAAGCAGAAAGTTCTTTGAATCATTCAAATCGGTCACTTAGTTCTCTCAAAAACTGCCATTTTTTATACATTTAGCTCTTTCGGAATATCGGAGTATCTGAATATCTGAATATCTGAATATCTGAATATCTGAATATCTGAATATCTGAATATCTGAATATCTGAATATCTGAATATCTGAATATCTGAATATCTGAATATCTGAATATCTGAATATCTGAATATCTGAATATCTGAATATCTGAATATCTGAATATCTTAATATCTTAATATCTTAATATCTTAATATCCTAATATCCTAATATCCTAATATCCTAATATCTGAATATCTGAATATCTGAATATCTGAATATCTGAATATCTGAATATCTGAATATCTGAATATCTGAATATCTGAATATCTGAATATCTGAATATCTGAATATCTGAATATCTGAATATCTGAATATCTGAATACCTGAATACCTGAATACCTGAATACCTGAATACCTGAATACCTGAATACCTGAATACCTGAATACCTGAATACCTGAATACCTGAATATCTGAATATCTGAATATCTGAATACCTGAATACCTGAATACCTGAATACCTGAATATCTGAATATCTGAATATCTGAATATCTGAATATCTGAATATCTGAATATCTGAATATCTGAATATCTGAATATCTGAATATCTGAATATCTGAATATCTGAATATCTGAATATCTGAATATCTGAATATCTGAATATCTGAATATCTGAATATCTGAATCTCGGAATATCTCTAGAAATTGATTAGAATATACATTACTTAGCAAAACAACGTTTACCGGGTCAGCTAGTATATGAATAAATATATGCAATCAGCTAGAATCTAGATTCTAGATCAATCGCAAACATGCATCCAAAACATTTCTACATAACCTGGAGTTTACCGTTAATAACAATATTGATTCATTAGAATGATATCATTGGAGATTAATGAGCTGATTAAGTATTTGTTGTAAATCGTAGTATGTATGAGGAACAATACTTCGCATAATTGGAAACAGTAAATATTTTCAAGAACATTCCACTCATGCAACTAATAAGTAAACGATGATGGGAAAAGAAGTAACCATAGTAATTAAGATTAGCGACGCATGATATCATTGCTTATGATCAATATATTTAAATATGAAGTATTTTTGAAAAATTTCAAGCGATGATAGTTTTCATCAGAAGTATTAAACTAGCATGCTTTCTTCTGACTACACTAACACGTTAATCGTCATGTCAGTCATTTATGCAGGACCACCATATCACACATATATGTATGACATAAAAGATAGTGATTTAGCAGAAAATTTTGCCAACAATGCTAGTTGATGCGGTTAAGTTTTCTTGATATATTTTTTAACTTAATTATATAATGAAACTACAAAGGCCAATGTGATTGTTTTTATAATATCGTAGCGATTAACGTGTTAGATATATTTTTCAAAGAAATTATATTACATATTATATAATATAACTTTTATCGACGTTTGCTCAAAAACGCCTGAACCGATTTCAGAAATTGAAAAAGCATCTGATGTATCTCGAAGAGGATTATTGTTTCTCAGTTTTGGGCGACGATCGGCCGAGCCGTTTCATTGTAATTTGGAAAAGTGTTAAACTTTTCGTTCACATTTAAGCTCATACTACCGAACCGATTTTTAAAAATAAAAAACTGTTCGAAAGATATTAGTTGGGAATAATACTGATTAGTTTTAGATGAAAATCTACCAACCCGTTTAACTGTTGAACAATAAATTTAAGCCGATTTTCATGGAACTCTTTTTGGCGATATATTATATATCATGGTCTTATACAACTTACTGAAATATTACGGCCTTACGACAAGTAGTTTAATTTTAAAAATTCATCAAAGTTTGAGAAAAAAAGTAGTTTTTTTGACGTTTGTTGAAAATAAAATTAGATGATTTAGTTGGTATAACGATAGAGTACTTGGTCTTGAATATAGTAAACCATTAAGTCCTACGGACAATATCTAGTTCAATTAAAAAAAATATTGATTTTTGAAAATTTACTTTCAGAAAATAGTCCGAGTTAACGTGTTCGTTCGTTTGCAATGATGTGTAATAAATCCACTCGGAATACTTATAATGGCTCATAAATTAATTTATTTTTTATTGATTTATTCGATTATTTACACATTTCGGGAAGTTCATGTAACTTGCCTCACGGCAAAATACCAATACCAACTAGTTCTATATATAATATGTATAATATGAGGTTGATCTTAATCATATCTTACATTGAACATTTAAATATGCTCTTGCAGTCTGTCTGTCTCCATGGGCATTTGTAACAGCACATACATATTCTCCCAAATCGCCCATCATAACTGGTCCAACTGTAAGTCCACCCTGGGGCCCGTATCGAACACGATGCCTCAAGTCTACGAGTTCACTGAGAGGAACACCATCTTTGTACCATTCGACAACGCTGTCGGGATCTTTGCTTGTGCAGGCGAAATGTGCTCGCTCGCCTTCTAGTGTTGTCTGATTTACTGGAGGTATGGCCAGTAATGCACCACCTAGAAAAAAAAATAGATAAATTAAAATAAGTAATAAATTCTATAATTTATGAATTTTTCATATAATTGAGTTAAATATACAACGCTTGCGCTCATACCCTTTCAAAGAGCAATGATTCCACCTTTTTCCAGGAAAATTGTCCTTGTATATATCACATAACGATCAAATAATTTTCAATAAAACTAACCATAGTAATACATGAGTTTTTCCGCTCGTCAATTTACGCTCAATATACTATAATTGCATATTATAGAAAAAATCAATTTTTTGAAAATTTTATATGGACTTCCCCCCTTAAGTGAATTGTATCATTCAGTTGCTGTACTTTTTGTCTTTCAACACTTTATAAATAATTAAATATTATTATTATAAAATAACTAAATATTGAACTTTGAATATTAATATTAAATTTTACATGGTAACTATAGATAATCTCCTAATATTAATAATTAGTGGTTTGGTCCTGATACATGAAATCAATTATCATTTACAGAATCTTTACCATCAACTTCCAAGTGGAACCACGTTCCATTATTTCTTGAGCTTGGGCTTCGGTTCGGAAAAATGATTCGGCACTCATACCATCCAGAATCAGATTCTCGAATTGCCGTGAGATTGATGGACCCGCGACCAAAACCATGGACCTGATGGTCATCGAGAAGAGTAATGCGGCCTCTATATACAGGTGCTGCTACCAAGTCACCATCGTACCAGGAGAATATTTCTTCGCCCTGAAAATCAAGAATAATAATACTTTATTTACGACAATTTTATGGCTGATGAAATCGCTAAATTTTGTAACAAGAGAATATGTAAATATGTTTACGTTTTTATGTGTTTAAATATAATAATATATATTGTGTTTAAATATAATAATTATAACGTGTAATTTCGAGCAAAATCATCAATAGAATGCTCCAGTGAAAAAATGGCGACGCCAAGAAATTAAAATGACCAGAAATAGTAATGACAAGAAATAGAAATGAAAAGAAATAGAAATGACCAGACTAGAAACCAGTGTTACCAGAAACCAGTGTTACCAGAAACAAGTGTCGAAACAGAAAACAGATGACCAGAAACATGGATGACCAGAAACATGGATGACCAGAAACATGGATGACCAGAAACATGGATGACCAGAAACATGGATGACCAGAAACATGGGTGACCAGAAACATGGGTGACCAGAAACATGGGTGACCAGAAACATAGGTGACCAAAAACGTGGATGACCAGAAACAACGATGATAAGAAACAACGATGATCAGAAACAACGATGATCAGAAACAACGATGATCAGAAACATGGATAACCAGAAACAGAGATGACCAGAAACAGAGATGACCAGAAACATGGATGACTAGAAACAGAAATGATAAAAAACACGGATGACTAGAAATATGTATGACCAGAAACAGAAATGACCAGAAGCATGAATGTCTAAAGCTAAAAATGACCAGAGGTAGGAATGATCAGAAATAGGAATGACCAGGAGTAGAAGTTTTTGATATATATGTCAGAAAACTGAAATGTTTGTAAATATAAAAATTTAGTATAATTTAGCTTAATTAACTATATTGTATTACACGTGATTCAATTTATTAAACCATAGTATATAAAAACAGTGAAACCATTTTTGATTCTAATGATGTTATATTCTATATGTATTTCACAATGGTAATTTTTTTTTGTTAAACCTGTGTTTAATGTTCGCATATTTTCATAAAGATATAACATCATTACGATGTTAAACTGAATTAAAATATTATTTCTATATAATCTGTTCCAATGGGTACTCACGCACCGTAACCAAACATTCGCACATTTTGTTCCGCAGGAAACATTAAACCATCATTACATAACTTGGAAATACAGATCGCCTATCATATATCGCGGGAATTAAGATAAATGAATGATGTACAATCAATTATGCTTTAAATTAAATATATCAAGGGAATTTGATCATAAGGCATTCTACGAAATTCAAATGATCTATCTATATAATCCATTTTGGCATAAAAATAATCAAATGATACGGCACTCCTCGCTTGGTCTTATTGTGTTAATTTAATTAATTCTGATAGTTAGTCAGATAGAGAGCGCCCATATCCTATACGTCTAACTATTCTAGGTCATTTTTGATTAAATCCAATTGTGCTTTCTGGTTTAAATACAAAGTACCATTAAGTAGTTGCCCGATAGACATTGCAAAAGTGAGTGATGGGTGACGACTGACGAACTACTCGTAATAACTTGAGACTCTTGGAGCGGTAACATGAAGGCGGCTTTTATTAAGTTGTAGATTAAATATCAATCACTTTATATCATTCAATTATTCAATATTACTGAATTATTTGAGATATCTTTATTAAAAGTAAGACACTATTAAAAATCAATTCAAAAGTCATTGGAAAGTAATAACAGTAGATAAAAAGAGCCAATAAAAATCTTATACACAGTTTCTTAGATTATGTTAAGTTGCTGATAATCAATGTTATATTTGAACATAGCTCTGAAAAATATTTTTTTGCTAAAATTTAGCAAAATTTTATATGAAAATTTTAGTTCTATTTTGGAACAGAAAAGCACGATTAGATAGATTTGATTGGGACTTTCACATTTCGAAAACTTTCTGAAAAATTGAATTAGTATTTTTCATATGACACGCATTTGATAAATACATCATTTGTGTACTTAATTGATCTCCATTCAACGATTGCCTTCTAAGATGATTAACGTAAAAACATCCAAACAAGTCATTTCATTTAAAGCAAACATAGTCTGAATATACACAATACTTTTTAATTATAGTAATAATATTACAGTAATTTTGTAACATTGTAATATCTACAGGCTAAAAATAATTTAGACATTTGAATTTCCAAAAATAAAAATATACAATGTTATAAAAATAGATCATCTTCATAAAGATTTATTTGCTGTAGTTATTAACATGTCGTACAAAGTTATTAACATAATTGTTTAAACAAATAATTTTAAATATAATTATTAAACAGTACAATGTTTCAGTTAAAATTATGCTAAGTGAATGGTAATTTCGAGTTCATAAAATTTAATAAAAGATGCTGTCATAATTGAAGCATGTATAATAAAAGAATTTTTTTTATAAGGTACAAAATTGAAATAAAATATTTAAGTGAATCTGCTACCACCAGCAGAAGCGTCATTTTAACAAAAAAAAAAACCATTATTATTTAATAACCATAATAATTTGAACCATTATTCTGATATCCTAGATTGCAATGCTAAAGCTCTTATCACTGATCTACCACTGATTTTAATATACATAGAAGCTTGCTTTCTCCTTTTGGGTTTTATAAGTAGTAACCTTATTTCAAAGATTTGTTTTGATATTATTAACAATTTGGAAAGCTTGCAGTTTGAATTGGGCTATTCCTTTCAATAATTTGCCTATAACCAAGAGCCTAAATTACTCTAAAATGTACCTACAGATTTAGTATTTAGATTTAATTATATTTGATCACAAAATAGTACTTAAGTTGAAATTATTACAAAAAATTTAGTTTCTCAATAGTCAATTACAATCTGTTTTTAAAATACAAAAAAAACATTTAGTAATTATGAATGACAATATGTAAAGTTAAGACCAAAGTTATTTGTAATCTAGGTAACTTTAAGAAGCTTTACTAATAGTTGAGCATTTTAAATAAAAAAGAAAATAAAAGAAGATTAAATTAAATCGTTGATTCAAATGTATGTTTAACGAATCCACAAAGAGAAAGTTAATAGAGAAGCTGCAATTCAGTTTGTAGAATATATCCTGAATGAATGTTTCGGACCGAAAATTCATCAAATGATCCAACGACCTCACACCATTTATATGCAAATATCGCAGGAACACGCGAGTGACCAAGCCAATTCAAACAAATTCATAATAGAGCAATGGTACAGGAACTGTCAGAAGTAGAACTACAGTTGACAAAGTTATTTATAACCCGAGACTGCATTACATTCAAGCCGAATTGTTTGGCTACTGTACCGTGAATATGAAATTTCGTGTTTATGACGATGTTAAAATAATTGATTGTAATCAACATTGGAATCTGTCAGAGTAAAATTAGATACGAGCTGGATAAGTTTTCGAATCCGCAAAAAGTTATGAGTTCAACCCCTATTTGGCACACTATACAAAAATGAATGCATGTTTTCGTATACTGAGTACTTTAAGATCTACCATGATTTCTCAAGAACGCCTGAAACGATTTGAAAAGTTGAAGAGATTTTTTCTCTTTGAAAATTAAAAGAGATTTTTACATTTTTTTGTTTAATATAAGGGTAATTGAATAGTAGCTTTAGTTTTAGTTTAATTCAATAGAAGAATGTTAAAAAATCATGATAAAAGTCATTGTAGCCACAATTAAATAGCCCATTTCAATTAATTATGTAATGACCTATGCACATAGATAGTTTTAAAAATTATTTAAACTGATGAATTTATGAATGAGTCAGGAGTTTTGAAAACAACTGTATGTGTCGAATTAAGCGTGCAAGACTTAATTAAATTTTAATTGAGGTACACGGCTATGCAGTCCATTGAGTTCGGGGCCAAACTAAATGACATACATTTTACGTAATCGTTTTAACGAATCATGCACTTATAATTCGTAACAATATTAGGAAAACATTGCAAAATTAATTTTATTTTTAATTGTAGTATGTGTCAACTGCTTGAGATACCGCATTCCAGGAGATTCAAGCGAAAATAACTAATGGATTATCCAATTAAGATTATCCTAGATTAATCCTAATCTAGCTAATTGTTTAATGAAACAATTTTTATATTTTTTAGAAAATCATCAAAATATGATAGTTAATTTAATGTAATCATTTTTTGTATTATTATTATATTATTTTATTATTTATTATTATTATCAATTATTAATATTATTAAGTACTATTTTTATGTTTTTATCTTTATTTATTCTTATTTATTTTATTTTTTGTTTTAGTTTATATATTTTGGCATAAAAGCTCATAGAATTTACATTACTATTCTGATTGTTGTATAATAATAAATGAATAAAAAATGGTATGAGTGATCAAATTCTGTTGCTGTGTATATTTTCATTTGTTGATTCCTTTTATATTTAATCGTTGTTGCCAAAATGCAAATACACAAAAATTTTGTTCAAACTAATTTTTTGGTTCTAATAAATACATGTACCTTTTAAGTAACAGTGGCCTATGAAATTTGCACTATTATAGAATTAAGATTTAAGTGTCATTCCACAAAAAAAATTTTTTTGGTGAAATATGGAGAAAATTGAAATTTGACTTGGAAGTTACGCGGGCTTATAGAAGTTTGAATCTCTTCTGTAAACCACAAATTTCATTAGAAACCATCTCACCAACTATGCAAATATGCATTTCTCATCATGCTTAATTCTATTTTCATATTAATAAAATAATATTGCGTTTTATATTATCATTTCAATATTTTATCAAACTTTACTGAATATTCACATTTAAAACACTAGTCATAAAATTTTAAGATATAATTGGCGAACATAATTTCTATTAAAATATCGTACAAAGTTTGTTCAGCATTTTTGCCGAAAACGAAAATAGTTCACATTAGCACTAATTTGCTCATTAAGAAGAAATTTATCGGCCGGTCGTGGGACTAACTAGAGATTACTTAGCCCTTATTGAGTTTAATAAAATAGCTTAAATTTTTAAAATCGATGCATACTTTTTTCAAAAAAATGCCGATGATATTTAATATTCAGCTCACATACACGCATACTATTATCTAATATTGGTGTCAAACAATTCAGAATGACTTGAAACCACTAAAAAATATGCAAAACGGATAGATGAGGCGAAGATATAATTTTCTTCTTCGAAAAGTTAGAAGTATAATAAACTAAGAATCAATATTTTATTGCATAAATGAATCTGTTTTCCTAATTTAATTTCTTTTATAATCCAGTTTTCCTATCTCTTTGTTGCATATTTATTACTAATTAGATGATGATAATGAGTAGTACTGCCCTAGGGCAGAACTGTGAGCTGAGTTAAATTCCAGCTCGATTCAGGGAAGAATAGTGTGAGAGATTTCTCTTTGCCAATTCACATCGCAGTGCCCAAAATGAGCTATTTATAAATTGAAACAAATTTTTGATCAAAGTGAAAATGGATATCCCTTTTGCACGATATCAGAATGTTCATATTATTTATAAAATTAAATATTCTACTTACATCTTTACTCCACCTCAGTTCGTACGGAATCTCTAAATCATTTGGAAATTCGATTTCGCAGTTGAAGGCGATGTGAGATCCGACGGTCGCATAGAGATTCGTGCTCGTCTCCTCGTCCTCTTCAGATGAGGATGCATTGATTATCTCGGAACGAAGTACAAGAAAGCATATGAGTGCACCGAAGAAACACTTCTTGGAGTACATGATTGATTTCTTCACTTCGTAACTAGAATTGATATAAAAAATACACAGGTCAGAAAAAAACTTAACTGGGTGCCAGTAGCATTAAACTTAAAAACAAGTTGCTTAACCCCTTAACTCACAATTTAGATTCGAAAATGTCGGCCCAATGTTGTTCAAGCTGGTGCAGCGTTGTGACTATTTTCCTACATAGTGTACGGTTTATCACAAAAATAAAAATAATTTTGTGTTTTATAGTTTCGTATGAATAAATATTTTATAATACTTGCATTCACCATATCAGGCCATGCCCCGAAATGCGTAATATTTGCTTCTGGCCCGAATATCGTACGCGGGCTATGGCCGTTATATTCACTTTTGGCCTAGCAATCGCACGCGGGCTCTGCTCGTCATTTTAAGTTAAGGGGTTAAACTTCTCAGTATTAATCAATCATTATTAATTTATAAATGTTTCAGAAGTATACCGAATGACTTAGGTTCTTATAACGTTGAAAACTATTGCGGATGATCACTTTTGTTTAAATTTTGCATATATGTTAGTTATATTGGACAAATAGTATAAATATTGTACAATATTGAACCAAATTGTAAAGCACTATTTTTTTTGTGGTCAATTCTAAAAAAATATATTTAAAAAATATTATCTCTTTTCGATGTACTAGTACTGGGCCCGTAGTATTTTCCTCTATGAGCTAGTTGGTAAAATAAACAAAAAAAGACAAATAAATAAATTAGTGTAGTTTTTTTTTTAATTAGTGTCATGATTCAATAATTTAATTAGAGTTGTCATAACTTATTTGATTTGGTAAACATTGAAATTAAAAGTACAATAAATAAGTAGTCTGTTTTATGTTTTTTGCTAGTAATATATTTTCCACTAGATATTTGAATTGTGCAATTCATCTGTTCTAACGTTAATTAAATAATAATTACAATCAACAATATTGTTTATAAATACAAATAATACTAATAAGTGTGAGTTAGAGATATTAAAATTGCAATATTTTAAAAATCTAAATAATACACAGAATCATTCCTTAGCAAGCATAATCAAAATACTAATTTTGAATAACTCATTTGAATTCTAAATTGCATTATTAATCAATTATTGCTTTAAAATTAAGTTCGAATCTTACCGAAAAATCTTCACAATAATTTTTTAAAACAATAACATTGAATAAAAATTACCAAGAACCATCCACTACAAATATTTTCCTGATACTAAAATAATACTCGAATTTTCAACTATTACTGCACTTGACCATGTCATCCTCCCCATTAATTTACAATTGATTAATTGAATTTCAATTTGTTTCAAACTTCGACATGTCAAGTTGTTATGACAATATTAATTATTTCATTATAGCTTCAGCGGTAATCTTTGATAAAGAATTTTTGCATTGAATGAGTCTTGGTTAATAGTTGATTAATGCCTTCAATAAATGCAAACGCAAAACCTTGAGATATCTCATCTGTGGCAGAAGATTGCACACAATTGACTTCCATCGTATGATTTTAATCTATGATAAAATATTCTTAATAGAATATTATATTCAATTCAATGTTTTAAATTAGCGTTATTTATATTTAAATCCACTTAAACAAGAATTTTGCATCTGGAATAAATAGTATTTTATTTAGAAAAACGTCATGGAAAATAATACATTGTTGCCTTTGAAATGTATATGCATTAGAAGAATATACTGTGGGGAAAATTTGCTCAGATTGTTTTTTTTTGAAAGATAATATAAAAAAAAAATTTTTTATTAATATTATTATTATTATTAATATCTGCATCTATAACATGCAGAATATCAGTTAATTTTTGGTAGTACATTTTTGGTGAACTTAGAATGTTTAAATCGAAAGCCAATCCAGTGATTTAACTTCAGGATGTGATAGTATACAATCAAGTTTATGGGAAGAAGATAGTATATAAAGCTTAAATATAATACATTGAACAGAATATAATTTTCTATATTGCACTTCTTCACAAAGTTTACCTAAGCTCACGGAATTACTTTGGAAACATTATCCAATAATATGAATTATATATATATACGGAAAGTTATACATAATGAAAAAACATTTAAAAAAACACTCATCTAAGCTTAATTCTTTATCATTTGTTGTTTGTCAATAATTCAACAAAATAAATCCATAATTTCTATTAGATGTAGCAGAAGTACCATCACTAGATAGGCAATCAATGTAGACATTTTTAAATACCACCAAAAATTTGCTGATGTTTCATAATGGTATAGATGCAGCTATTAAAAAAATGTATAGCAGAATATAAAGGATCAGCAGATTCACAAATATGGATGATAATAACAATAATGTTTCAATTATAAGTATGGGCAATTTCTATCATGAGGCAGGTTCTTGAAAAGCGAGGAAATAGTGTAATTTAATACCAATTTGCCTAAATGTACATCATTTGATCCAAAGACATATTTGCATTAATATATTGAAATAAAAAATGAAAGTCAATTTAATACTATCAAATAATATATCTTAAAAATGTAGTAAAAATCATTAGTTTTATACAGGTATTGACAATAAACTAGCAATTTATGCATTTTGAATGCTTAAAATTTATAAATAACAAAGGGTTTGATGGTTTTAAATTTTAACCAATATACTTTCTAGATTTTAGCTAGGAATAGTATCCAAATTAGGCAGAAAAAGGTTGCCCACACAACCATAACTATATATTATATTTTGTATGTAACATTATTAACTTCCCGTAGGGTAAGTTATTGTAATTGTCCAAAAATCGAAATTGAAATTTTTTTGCATTTCTCGACGTTTTGAAGGTTTCTGAACATTTTGGCATACCTCAGAAAAAATGGATGTGTATATGTATGGATACAATTTTTCGTCCACGTTTTCGTGGTTGGTTGTTCAAAAAACATTCGATTCCTATTGATAGGGAGATGTGCTGATTAGTTTTTGGCAAAGGCAGGTCCAGCCGTTTTGGAAATACGGCGCAAGTATGCAGAAAAAATAGAAATTTGTTTTTGAGAGATCGGAGCATCGAATTTGAATGATCCAAAAACATTCAATTGGTGATGAGGGGGGAGAAGTGGAGATTAGTTTTTGGCAAAGGCAAGTCCAGCGGTTTCGGGGATACAGAGTTAAATGTGCAAAAAAATGGCAGTTTTGATGAGAGAACTAAGTGTAAAATAATTCAGTTTAATTGTTATTCTGACTTAAGCAATTCGGCTTATATAATTCTTATAAATATTAGACAATGTTAGAGTATTTATTTATAATAAACTATTTGAAAACATTTAACATTCCCGAACATTTCGTTACGATACGGGAAGTTCTAGCAATTACCCTTAAGGCACGATGCCATACACACCACTAGTTTGATATTTTAAGACTAAACAATAAGGTAAGGTGTATTTGATTCGTCATGATAAACATATAGAAAAATGTTATGCAATTGCTTAAAGCAACTCATGCTGGCAGTATACGCAGTATAGTAAACATTAACACATACCTTTTATAGTTTCATAAAACCATCATATAATTTATATAGTATTAATATTAAATTAATTCTATATAACTGGAAAAACTGCAGTCTTATTATTTTTAACTAATCACATTTCACAACAATAACAAACAAAAATCATCACTGGCTGGTACTGACTTTTAAGTACTTTGCATATCACTGATTCCGGCAAGTGTGAGACAATGTCCTTACGAGTCGGATAATGAACTTATGAAATATTTTGCTAGTTATTCAAAAAGGCACATTAGTCGGCCACTATGCAAAAGATTCCACTGGACCCTATCAGCAAACGTAATAAAGTTAACTTTGGATAATGACGGCGCGTAGGATTATGGAGTGCGACTGCCGGTCAAACCAAAACAGAGGAGTGGGAGGCTAGATTTGCATGCATTCTATATGGAAAGAAATGCCAAAATTTGGAAGATTTGTACTTTATTTGTAGATACTTTGATGCCAAGAAAAGATGTTTTTTCAAACGCGCACTTTTCTAGAATTATGTAAAATGGGAAACAACGATCTTGAGACGATAGTCATATGGTTTATATATATATATTATATATATATATATATATATATATATTTATATATATAATATAAAACTTTTTTATAAATTACAACGTGTCGAAATAGAAAGACATTGAGTAATTAGTTTAACAAATAATATTTTAAAAAAAAAAACCCCAGTGGTTCACCTTTTATTGATGTACTAAATTATACATTAATTAAATTTTGGTATTATAACGAGAGAAAAATAAACTCATATATATATACATACAATTATAAACAAAGTACATTACACAGACTACATTTACACATACATACACACACCTATCATATATAATATGGTAGAACAACTTATTAGGTTAAAGTGTTAGGTCTAATAATTGCATTCTTTTTAGTCTTATATTATACGAGTACTCGTATGTGGTGTTGTCAAGACTTGCTATCAGTTCGTTTGGATGATGGTCAATTTTACTCTTGAAGATAAGGGCACTATTTTTAATTTCTTCACTGATTGTGAGTGTATCGGTGTCCTGATGAATTAACCATGTCGGCAAATACCTTGGCGCGGAATTTTATATTTGATAGTACGAAATAGGATAAAAAAAATTATTCATTCCACAATTTATCTGTAAAACCCACCGATACTAAAATCTTGACGGTTTGACTTTAGTATCGGTAGATTTTACAGATAAATTGGGAATGGATTATTTTTTTTAGTTAAGATCACTCCAATATATAAATATATTAAAATATTATTGAACTCCTCTAACAGAATTTTATAACCTAATATTATTTTATAACCCCTTATTTCTTCTATAACTAATAATAGTTGTATATATCTATGCATAATCCATTATAGAACGTTGTCAAATATTTATCAAAATGTTTGCATTTTTATTGTGATGCAGAGTGACATGAATGCTATAGCATCCAAATTTAAAAGTGAATGAATTTCAATTTAATTGATATGATCTCACGTTTTTGTAATTATTACACCT